GCCCCTCTGAACCCTTGTGCTGTAGTTCATAGCAGAGCACGTCTTTTTGGTACCACCAACCCAAACCATAGTTTACCTGTGGAGGCTGCCACCGAGAGACGGAATAGAAAGTCGTTAACTAAGCCTTCTAGTCAAGCCGACGACTGTCACCTTAGCCAGAAAGGTTGCTGTCTTTGAGTGTAACATCTGCAACAAGTGGGTGCACAGTCAGTGTGGTGAGGACATAATGGACCAATATTATGCACTCATGGCACGCTACCCACGCACGTGGTTCTGGTACATCTGCCCACAGTGCCGTATAAAGCCAGTCTTTTCTATAGGCTCGCCATAGGAGGTCGTAAAACACTTCGCAATGGCTACTGTGATGCCGGCACCCGCAGAGACCACTACCCCAGGCCCAAGTGGCAAGAGTGTCAGCACTGTTCCCCGGTTGGTCACGCCGGTAAATAGTCCAAAAAGACCCAAACGACAACCAGGTACGCGACCAACTATATTAGTCGCTAACCCTGAAGTCACTGTGACGGCCAACCACAGAGTACATGGGGGGGAATGGGTGACAGTGGAAAAGAAGGCACACCCCTCCCATAAAAACCACCCATAGCACACAAAAACAGAGAAGGTGGCGACAGACCGAACTCCATCACCCTACCTAACTTCCCCGTTTGCCGTGACAGCCTTCTTGAGAACAGGGATTATTTTGAAAAACAATAATGGGAAATCGTGTGCACCATACTAGGACTGGGCAGCTTGGAAGCAAAGCTGTATCGGCTCTACAAAGGCAACTTCTCGACTCAGGAAAAGCCCCCGCGAATAACAGCGACCCTGAGATCGGCTAAGGAAGCAGAGAGATTCTTATTGTTGTCACACACACACACACACACTGGTCTTCAACAGGTCATCCAGCATTAGGCCAGACCAGACCGTCCTTGGTCAGCGAGGAAAGCGCCTCGCGAGGTGCCCCAAACGCTGAAACCAACAACTATGGTTGCCCATGGCATACCGGGACCAACAATTGGAACAGTGGTAGAAGAGTATGCTCACGAAGTCCTGCAATGGCAGTGGTTATCAGCGAGGATAGGGTTAAATGGGATGGCGGCGGCGGCTGTCTGCAGATTTCTACGTCCTTCACCTTTGACGGTGACAACATCCCCTAGGTAGATGGCTATTGACTTTGGCTGTCGAGAACCTTTAACCAAAGTACTGGATACTTGGTACACAGTAAAAAGTAACGTCAGCTCGAACGCCCGCTGGTGCGAAAGCAGGCCCAGGACACTGCGACAACAGCGAATGACAGCTCCGCCTGGTGCTGAATTCACCATCACTGCCAACAGACAGGATGTACAAACAAGCCTAGACCCTATGAACCCCCCAGAAACCATCATGGGAAAAGATGTGATTGGGCCGGTTTCGCTGGAGCTAGCCGTCCTACAGCAGGCTTCGCCATTACGCACGACCCCTTCAGTTTGCCACCAGCAGGACACCCCATGTCGTTAGGATCATGTCAAGGTGTTCGGGAGAGAAGGGTAATTTAGGGAAGGCAAGTAATGTCCAAAGCTACATCCATGGGATATGACCGGGTCATTATAGCCGGTGACTTTAAAGCTCCGACCCTCAATCTCGGGCAGGACAGGGGAACCTCAAGCCGAAGCTTCGACCGAAACCTACACGACATTGTCAAAAAGATTGGACTGCACGAGAACATTGGCCATGACATTCGCTGGGGGTCTGGCGGAGAGCCGTCCAAACTGGACCACCTTTTCACAGGTGACCACGTGTTGGCAGAAAATGTACAGGTTCCAACCCCCCCCCCCGACAGCAGCGATCACGGCGTGGTAGTGTTCGATCTGGTATTCAACGAAAAACTGTCATTGGAGGGGTCTCGCCATTATCTTCTCTTCAGCAAAGAGAACTACGTGGCGATGAATCAATACTTGTCGACAGCACCATGGCCCCAGGAGTAGATCAACCTGTCGATTCATCAACATTGGAAGCTGGTTAGAGATACCATCAAGAGAGCGACCTCTGAAAACATCCCAGTAATCACAGCAGCACTGCTGAAGAGAACCTCATGGCTGAAGCGAGGCACTGAACGCCTTTTAAGAGCCAAGAGGAAAGCATGGCATAAGTGGAGGACCTCCAAAAAAGAGTCTGACTGCACCGCGTATATGGCCCTTAGAGGTCGATGTAGCATCAGGGTGAGGGGAGATAGGAGGTTGTCCCAGACTAGTTAAAGTTAGCAGGTGAGTTGGTCTCCTGGACTTTACTGTCTGTACAGATTTTCGTAGCCATTATGACCGTCCACAAATCTGAGTAATTCGAGGACTGGTAAATGTTTATATAGTGAGAGGGTCAAATGGGTGAATCAGATTGGTGATTCTTGCCCATTGGACAGTAATTTTCGTGTGGGCATTGTTTCATTGCTTCGAAAAAAATGGAGTGTTGAAAATTAGTAACGTATACCCCTCATTTGTGTCCTGTTGTCATCATTGAAGAATATCTTGATGATGTGGGTCTTTGAGGATCCTAGTTGAATCTTTTGATCGTTCAGCGTTCCGATTTCCAGATTATTCCGTAAGTTTTCATCACAGTCCCGTTTCTTCATGGTCTGATGATATCTTCATGTTGCAACCATCTGAAATTTTGGTGGAGAAAACAACAGTGGCAAGCGTAGCCCCTCGGCTTGCAAAATTGTTTATGTATCGAGAGTTCCTAATATATCTGTAGTTCCAGTAGCATTATTGGTGGTGCTTTTTATGGTGATGTCCTGTGGTGCGGAGTTAAGCAGCCTTATAAACCTAGCCAAAGTGTTTCATTCTCGTTCGTCCCCGGGTATTTTATCACAAAGAAGTTCGCTCTGGTGACTGTTTTGAAATGCTTAATTACTGCTGTCGCGGTTACGTTTCTTAATCCAAGTGCAGTTTTGTCTACGAAATACATGTCTGTGCGTGTGCTATAAGTAAGCCTATTGAGGAGCTTATAAAACAGTATGAGGCTGAGTCTGAGCCTTCCTTTCCATAGTGGTTCAAGTCCTAGTACTACTAAACGCAGTAGAGTTACCTGGAATAAAGGTGACTGCTGCTATGGTCCTCGAAAAACTATCAAAGCTTCACGGGGAAAATCACCAGGGTGCGACGAAATCCGGCTGGCTGTGTTGAAACAATGGGCGGGTGCCTTGTGCGGCCTGCTGTGTAATCTGTTAAGTTAAGAACAGCTATGGCGTCGGAAACAGAATCAAGTGCACTGCAAAGTGACCTCAGATTACTTGCAGAGTGGGTGATATAAGTGGACCAGCATTCAGTCTGAATAAGTGCCGAGCAGTTTCCCCGCACCCCTGACCTTCGGAAGGTACCCTTTTCTCTCCGGAGAAAACAGCTCTCCCATACCACCGCAGAGAAAGAACTAGGACTAATAATGACTGACAAACTAGACACTAGCTCCAATTATCTAGATGCTTCCAGAGCCTATTTAGTGCTGCAATTCATGCACAGGCAACTGGGTGCCCTGACACCGGAACTCTTTTCGAAACTGTACAAACCAAAGTACAACCTCACTTAGAGGTCCACAACGTAACTGCACCACCAGATCCGAAAAGAGACATGAACCTCCTAGAGAAAGTCCAAAGGCAAGCTACAAAGAGTGTCGTGAAAATGAGGAGAAAACCATATCGGTGAAGGCTGAAACATCTACGACGCAGCTCTCTAAGCCACCGCAGATTACGTGGTGCCTTGATAACAGCTTACAAAATACTAGGTGGCCAAAGTCATCCGAACAGTGGGATTTTACCGAACGGCCAATATGGCGATCATCGTGGTGACCCAAGGAGAATCGCCCACCAAAGAGCCGAAACCCGCGTGCGATCACGCTTCTTCTCTCCGTGAGTTCGCGGCTACTGTAACGCATTGCCTGCCGAGATTTCTATTGCTCCATCTGTTGACAGTTCCAAGAAGAGGTTGGACAGTTACGCAGCAACGCACGGTTTGCGCCTATCCAACTGGGATGTGGACTAGGCTGACCCGACCTACTGGCTCAGTACGGCCACCTGTCACTGAACGTTTTGCAACACCATTATCACTGAGAACTTGGCCGGACCGTATACCTCCCTACAGACGTCTCTTCCAGTTACCGTCTCCTACTAAAAGGATTACTTTATTACCATTGGTCCTGTATTGTTATTTATTCTTCTTCCTTCCGAAGTTACGCTCTCAAACTTTAGCATAAACCCTCCCTATCACCCCTGCCCCTTAAATCTACTAGTGTTTATTCTTCCATGCCATTTCCGTTCTCCTAAACGTCTTTTTCTTTCTTCTTTCTTTTCTTTTTCGACTTGTTTTTTTGCACTTTCCCTTGATTTCTCCCTACATACTCTTCATCCCCTTTTTACAATCAGTCTGACAAGTCGTCTGCTGGCACGACACTTGGGGAACCCATCTGCACCACAGTCTTTGGAAGAAAAAACAAAACAAACAACACTCCCCACAAATTTAACCGACACCCAACCACCCGTCGGACTAACCACAGCTACGGCAGTCGAGTGAGCACACCTACTGCATCGGCATCTACCAAAGGCCTGGAACCGTTCTACGAGACCCAGAAGTGAGCGAGTAGAAATTAATTGGTTTACACAAGCAAGTAAAAAGATATTGGGTATTGAACTCTGCTCTAGAAACTAGACACACGCTATCTATTTTAACCTTTTAGGTAATTCACACACGTTTCTTCACCATCTTGCTATTCCTACTTGGGTACCCGCACAGACAGGAGTCACGACAGACCCGTGATCTCAGCTATCCGTAGCTCACTAAACACTATAAATTACACTTTACTATCTCATATAATCACTCACCTCACTGGAGCTAGAAGCAAGAAAGCAGTAGGGATTTCTTTGTACACTGCAGGAGAAAACCGAACAAATCTAACCGGGTACCAAGAACTAGACACGAGAGATTAAAATCTGATAGTTTTGTTCGCTCTCACTACCAATGTTGAATAGTATCAACCAAGGTCAATTGTGGTTCGAAGGACAAGTGGTTCACGAATTTGACCAAATATTGTAATGGAGAATTCGGACGATGATTCTACATCGGACGAGGAGTATGTTCCTCCAGGTACTTAAAGTTTCGAAAAATCTATCATTGATATTCAGTCAAAGCATCAAGGATTGAGGGAGACTCTGAAAGTGAATACAGTGAAGATACAGAGTCGGAAAACGCAATTACCGATGATGGTAATGGTGTTTGTAATGTGAATCTTTCGTTAGATAGCTCTGTCAAGAAATCAAGTAAAAGGATGCCAGCAAAAAGGTATGAATACAAGTTAGTAACGACTTAACTGTAGGCTGAATCTCTAGGAAGTCGAGAAATGTATCCAAGGTTTGGTCTGTTATCTTTTGTTTGTCACCTTCCAGATTTCTGATTCTCTTCAAGCCCCTTCTGCTGAAGACATTAAGGCACATGAAGACAAAGTATGGGAGGAGTTTTTGAAGTCGGAAGCAGCAAGCAAATCAGTATGGTCATTTCCGCAGTGATAATTTTCATTATAGGATGTCGATAAAAAAGTGAATGTTGTCAGGAAGTATCAGTTTGCCGGAGAGGAAGTTGAGTAGGTTCAGAAGTCACTTTTTAACAAATAATGTCGAGGGATGTACATAGGCTTTTATTGTAGACACTTGGGAATCGAAGTAAAAATTGAATACCCTACATCCCTACTTATGCTTGAAAATTTGCTTAGTAGGAAAGAATGTCGGTATCGCGCTCGAAATTCTTATTTTCGTAAGGAAGAATATAATTTTTCTCATCCGCTGCCTATCACCGCTAATGTATTAAGGGTTTAAAATCAAATCTGATGGTTAGAGAGTTTAGGCAATATATCAGGGAAACGATCTCAGCGACAGATTTTGTGCTTTAATTCAATTGCACTCACAGGGTCGCACGACAGCTTTTAGTTTTTGTTCATCTTTCAGTTTAATCAACCTTCCGGTGTGGGGTTGTGAGGTGTATCGTGGATAACTGAGTAAAGAATCCACCGTAACAGGAAGAATGGATGGTTACACATAGAAAGGAAGTGTTTCCTTGGGAAAAACTGCTGGAAAGTAACACTTGAAGCATGCGCATCACTACCACGTTGTGGAGATATGCTAAAAGAGCATGCGAACTATCGATTGAAAAGTCACGAAATGCTCATCGAGTGACAGAAGAACCACGGTTCCATGCTGTGTATCATGAGAAACCGTCTAACCCTAATGGCACCATCCCCATCTTACGGCGCTTTGTCTTTCGCCTTGCTTAGGAGAATTGTTTTGGATATACTCTAAGTCAAATTACGAGGGCCGGCTTGTCTGTTCATAGGTTTGGATCAGCTTTCCTAACATCGATGAGAGTTTAAAAACAAATGTCTATATCTAATTCAAAATGAAGTTATCCAGTGGGTAGACTTCGTTAAAGTATTCCACAAAACTTTTCAACCGCATTTCCTAAGTAGTCACTAAGAGTCCATCTTCTTCAGCAGTAGTCTCTTAAACCCTCTATACTTTTCCACAGCAATCCCTTTAGGAAATCCAAGTAACTGCCTTGTATGGCTCATTTAGTATCTCTCCCATCTAGTACTGTTTATCGCTGTTCGGATTGCTATGAAAAATATTTTACGCTTGTGGTGAAATGAAAAGCCATAGTGGCTGGTCTCACAGTATCTTGTTATACTACTGGCTTTCTCCAGCTACCAACTAGCTGTCTCAGTCAACCACACCTTATTGTTATAATTCTGGTTGATAGAGTCCTCGTCCTGAGCATTTCGTTCAGTAAGAGCAAAATAAGGATATTGCATGGTGCAACCACCTTGTTCACATTTTCCAGTAGTCTCTAGTAGTAATGTTAGTAATAATAGCGTTAATTGTCACGTGAAATACTGTTTCGTATTGCAAGTATTTTATAACTGAAAATACTAGTTTACTGTATTTTCGTAGAATGTTTTTGTACGAACGTCTTAGCTATAGTTGGAGCGTAGTTTTTTCTGGTGTTAGATATTTGCTCACATAGTTTTCTCACGAGACAAATTTTCAAATATTTAGCGTAACCAGTAACGAATAGATAGCAAGTACTAAAATCCATTCACTTTCGCACGGTTAGTTATACAATCGTTAACTATGGTGGATATCAACAACAGTTTCATTGCTCCACTGTATGAAATTCACGTGAAATCCACGTAAAAATATTCTCCTTCCTTAACATGAGTTTATTTCAAATTTTGCACATTTTCCCTTCACCAAGGGGTAAACTGCTAAGCAGAACTGACAAAAGTTTTTTCACTCGGCAGATAGTAGCAAAGTGTTACGTTTTCTAAACCACATTGACTAGTTCCGTTGTTTATTTCTGTTAGATCACCGCTTCATGTCTCACGAAGACTCTTGAACCCTAATCTACAGAAGAGTATTTATCAAATTGGTATAAATAAATGCTGAAATTGTACTGCTATTGCAATACATTCTCATATTCCGTAAACTAGGTGTCACAATGAATAGAAGTGCAGCTGTACACATAGTTAGAATCTGTTGGAAACCGTGCACCTAGGTTTCGTGCATATTATCACTCGTCATCAAGACGTATCTCCAGCCTCAATGGAATTGACACCCTCTCTAAGTTCCGAACCCATGTCACCCATTTGTTTAGCGACCCAGTTACCATGCTTGATGGTGTATTGCTCAATAAAATGTTCACGTTTTATCAGAGCTTGTTTCTGTGCCAAAAGATATAAACGGAAAACCAATCAGTTGCCTGATAATTATGTTTAATACCATCATGGTTCGTGTTTGAGAAAAGTGGAATGATTAGAATAAATTAATACATGGAGTTCTAAGCACACAAACCTATTCGATCACATCTCAGTTTCCATTGAAGTAAACCTTAACACCATTTCCAACTACATGGTCACATATACACGAGTTAACTTTCAAGTAAGATTTGCAACTAAACGTACCTGGTATTCCTATTTCTGATTGTCATAAAAGTAGATGCGCAATAGTTGTAAATTTAATCAACGGTGTTTAGAAAGGATGGCTGTGATCTTATACTTTTTTCCCCATTAGTCATCATTTATCTGACAAAATAGCATACATTTTTTAGTGATTCGATGAAACTCAGTTGTTTTAGTAAATATCTTCCATCTGAGAAGCAGGTAGTTGAATATTTGGTTTATACCACCGGGGATCGACCGTTGTCGCACAGAAACATGTCCATAATTCTTAGTACTTAATTTTATTTACTTGACATCTTTTTGGCTTCCAACGACCTATTTTTCCTACCCATGTTAGCTGATGCGATCTGGACCGTTACGCAGTAATATCACTGTGTTGATAATATCTGTTAGTAGTGTTAGTCAATCAATATTTCATGTTAAGCTATGTGCAGGTGAATCATTTGCATAAGTAAGTTAGATCTGCCTTCTGCTACATGCAAACTCTAATTACAACAAATATATAGAAGGGTTAGAATTTTAATTCTAAAAGTTGCATTGTAAAGATATTTTGATTCTATATTTTCCACTTCTAGAGGAAAAATTCCAGTTGTCGCTACTATTGTCACATCTTTTCTGTCTAGAATCACTAGTATTTTTAATTTCTTGGTAAAAATGACTGAACCACTGCTTCCCGTTGGTACATGTGACATTTCCTCACTGGGCACGGTTTATGAAACTGTGTAACTCTCACCATCAAATTTTCTAATGCCTGATTACATGATAGTGCCATAGCATTTCCAAAATCATTTTGTCCCTTATTTTCTGCATAACTACATGAAATTTTAATGCTCAACCAAATAATCTCTAAAGAGGAAACAAAAGCATCTTCGATAACGAGGACGATGTAGATGTGTATTGATTTCAACCTGTTACGTACAAACGTACGCAAATTTTTGTACATGGAATCTTCAGTGATCAATGTCTTGATGTAACCGTTCGCCTATTTGTGATATAAGACATGTTCCAAATTAATATTTCTGTTTCTAGGGTAACAGAAACTATCTCTAAGACAGCTAGTGTAACCAAGAACTCAAACATTTCACTGAACCAGAATAATACTGCAAAGACAGAGCCGCCAAAACCAAAGTAAGTCTTATGCAAAACTCTGCTTTGATTTGTTGATATTTTAATGCCTTTTTGAATGAGCAAGATAATATCGGTAGCATAGAAAGTATTGAACGTACAATAGGTGTTTGTGTATTAGCAATTACTTTACATCAAACGGTCCGAAAATCTTTTTAGCCAAACCAGTGATTTAGTCCCATCGTCTCCTGTAAAAACGGAATGGTTGAAAGCCTCTCTTGTGGAGAGCTGTTGCCAGTATCAGTCAAGAAAATTGAACTACAAGAGTATACTTAGTAAGGTGCATTGCGAAACACTGAGGAAAATACGGTCTAACCAGAGTATGCTTATAAAGAGACCAGACGAAGGAAATGGAGTCGTACTCTTGATTAAAGGCGACTGTAATCATTAAATGCGTAGCGTCCTCGAAGATACTACGAAGTTTCAAAAGTTGATAAACGGGTGAGATCACACTGAAAAAAAATAGAAAAAGAATTTCTAAAAAATTGGAAACACCATTAACTGGTGACACAATCTCGCCAGACACCGAACGAACTAAGCTAGTAGGTACTAACATACCAAGAGTGTATGAATTGCCTAGAATCCATAAACCTAGCCTACCCTATCTTAGACATGTTCAATTCACCGTATCATGAAGTAGCAAGGTGACTAGCAGATGTACTGAAACCGCTACAACATAACAGCTAAATGTGGCTTGAAGGACACTTGAATTTATTTCAGAAGTCGAAGATAAGAACGCTTGTGAGGAAACGATTTCTGTAGATGTTACTTCCTTGTTTACCATTGTTGCTCTTCTAAAAGCAATTGATTTCATTTGTGCTTCACTGCTAGAAAACAATATTGAGGTAGGTATACCACTTGCAATCCTACAAAGGCTGCTTTTTCGTTGTACAATGAATGCACAATTCCAGTTTAAAAAAGAAATGTACCGTCAGATAAGTTTGGCGATGGGTTCACCATTAGGTCCTCTCCTAGCCGACATGCCTATGGCGAAATCGGAAAGTGGACCACTGCGTAGCACATAAGATAAACTGTCCTATTGTAGATACATGAATGACACTTTCATTCTACACAAAAATGATACTAATCCTGGCATTCTTCCTAATACATTCAACAGTGCTCATCTAGAAATCGAGTTCACATGTGAAACAAAAATACGGATGTCTGCCGTTTCTAGACGTTTTGCTATCTAGACAAACAGACGGCAGTATCAGTAAAGTACAGGTACATAGGGCAAACTAGCCTGTCGGGGTCAGTTAGAATAACGGAACATAGAAATGTAACTAAATATAGAATAACACCCGAATCAGATCAGTAATTTAGAAAACAGCACGGCTATTGCAATGCATACATTAACGCAACCACTTAATAGAATGGGATAAAACCATTGTACTTAAGTTCAGTAAAATTAGATGGAGAGAGAGATTGACTACTGAGTCTTTGTTCATCGAATGAACACCTAACATATGTAATAGAAATGACGCAACACGTATACCAGAGATACGGTAAATTTTACTACCAATAGAAACAAAGAATAAGAAGTGATAGGACTATAAAAAAACATGTCGGAAGTAGTGGAATTACATTGCTATGATTATCAACAACGTCATCAAGTAAATAACACTGTTTCACCGTGTTATAAATTAAGTTGACAAATCTAATGTTACTTGAAACTCTGTTTCCCAATTATTCCCATGGGATTATTTAAATTATTCACCATCCTTACCAATTTCAACCATGTCACCAAGGATCCTCAACCACTGATCTGTCTCGTCTCAGGGACCTCAAAAAGGCAATTTATATTTCTCCATACGACTCAGACCAACAGTCAGGGACGTCATCGACTGGTTCTAGGTCTTGGTCTTTCCTCAGCATGGCACATCGAAGTAGACGGTGGGTCGGGATGTGCAGTACATATCCAAGCCATCTCAGTCGCTGTAGGTTTACAGCCTCATCAATCGACTTGCCTGTTATGTCTAGTATCCTTCTGACCTCAACATTGCTCATGTGGTGATTGCACCAAACGAAAGCAATGCTACAAAAATACTTATGATCAAAACCCTGAAACCGCTTCACGTCTTCTACTTTTACTGAGCTTGTCGTACAACCGTATTACAGGACCGAACAGACTGTAGTGTAGTATGCTTACCTTTTGGTAGATAGTCCCATGTCTCACAACAGATGACGCAAGTTGGCAAGCGCCAAACAGGCCTTCTGTATCTGGGTTGAAATTTCGTCAACCAGTCCGTTTGAGCTGATTCATCTCCCCAGTAAATGAAGTAATAGACATATTCCACCACTTCACTTCTTATCATCGTAAACTGGGAGTAGCTACAGACCGATCCTGGGGCATCATCTTGCATTTGACAGATACGAAATGCATGCCAAGCATACTCAGATTTGTACTCAACGCGTTCACAAGACCCTGTATTTTGTTAGCGTGTTCATCCAACAGGACAATATCATCTGCATATTCTAAGTCAACTAGTTGACCTCCAAAGAGTAGGTCACTCCTAAGGTTATATCCATTATTATATCTATGACGAAGTTGAATAGGGAGGCTGATAGTGGACATCCTTGGAAGTTGTGAATTTTCGATAGACACCTTGAGCTTTTACATACCGAAAAACAACTAATTTATTGCGAATAGTTTTTATTTTTTATAGTCTTAGTGAATTACACTATTACGATATATCGGGGTTTTATGTTATTTCATTCCAATTATGTATGGTTTCAATTATTCAATCAAAATTATGGATTCATGATATTAGTGAAAATAAACGATTGATTCAAGCTACTATCTACTCTTCCGGCGTATTATTTTCCTTCTAACACTTATTTAACAGGCTAATTCATCATTCAAGCTTAGATTTGCGAAGTGTTTTATTTGAAGAAAGTGATAGTTTAAAAAGAGTTAGTTCTAATGGTGAATCTAATCGCCGTCACGAACATTGTCATCAACTGTTACCGAAGCGAAATTCAAAATCAAACAACTTAAGTTTATTGAAATATTTGGTTGAAAATGAGACATTAGATGATCCTTTCATATCCATTAGTATACCTATGACGGAGTTGAACAGAAACGGTGATATTAGGCATCCACGGTGACCGCCGCTAGTTGTCATCAATTCTGCAGGAGTTCGAGCTGAGAACTTCGATTAGCGTTATGTAATTTGGTCGGTACGGCTTTCACAATCAGACACTGCTACAACACCTTACGGTCAGCAGAGTCAAATGTCACCTTTAGTTCAAGATGTATGTTGAAAGTCGGCCGCCAGTGGGTATATCTATGTTCCAGAACCTGTCGGAGGGTAGATATATGATCGGTGCATCCCTCGTCCAGGTCTGAAACCTGTTTGGTTTTCTCGAGTTTGGTGTTTTCAAGTTCCAGTTAGGTGTTGGATAACTACGGATCTTAGACACAAAATTAGTCAAGCTAATTCCCCCATGGTTGTCACAAGAAGATTTCTTTCCCTTCAAACAAACTGGGATGACTGGTGAAGTATATCAGTCAAGCAGTGCTACCTCTGATTTCCATGCACTACCTCCTTCACTTTAATTGTCAATTTTCTACCTCCATCCCTGAAAACTTTGAATGGCAAACTGTCATGTCCTGCTCCTTTGGATTGTTTCAGGTTCGATACAATTTCCTCAGCTTCAACAAGAGTTGGAAGTTGTCCCACTCAGATTCAGCCAGCATGTGACCCAACTGAAGCGTTGCTGTAAGCCAGTTGAACTGTTCTTCAAAGTGTTTCGCCTAACGTTCTAGCCACCTGTCCTGGGATGTTATTAGCGTCCCATCCTTTTCGGCAACGGTTTCACTAGTCATCGTATTCTTACCGGTATCCCTGGTCGGCCTACATAGTTGCCAAGTGTAACCCATCGTTGGTGCTTTCTTCATCTCTCTCATCTCCATCCACCACTGCACGCGACCATTGAAGAGACTCTTGATCAACTTGCATCTAAGTTGCTTTCGCTCTTCACCGTACCCGGAGTCAGCTGGAACCAGTTTTCTCGTACCACTCACTTCCGATGACTTTGCGGAAATCCAGTGACGTTCGCTAACCCTCGAATGTAGGTTACCAGTCGTCTTTACCGGTGTTTCTACAACAGACGTAATATCATGCTATGTTTCCTCAAGATGAGCATTTCTGTCACGTGCAGATAAATGCTTAGTTAGCTCCTCTCTAAATGTGTACTTGGGGTCGTTATCTTCCAATCAGGCACAGATAAGCTTCACGGCCACCTGCTGCCAGCAAGGCGCAGATACACACGTGCCCGTACCAGCGCGTGATCAGAGTTCAAACTGGTATTCCAGAACAAGTGGCAATCCTCCACCGATCTTCTCCAACTATTGCTTATAGCAATATGTTCTATCCTTATCCATCGTTGGTTTGGTATCGGTGGACACTATTTGAGACTTTCTCTGCGTATACTTGAAGTTATTGCTGGTCAGAAACAGCTAATTGTCGAAGCGAAATTCCAACAGATGATCACCATTGTCGGTTCGTTGGTAAGGGATTCCGTAAATACCTCTATAATGCCTTTCCGATTGATTCAACTCCCTCACTTAAGTATTAAAGTCACCTGCCGTTACGACCACATCTGAACGTTTTACTTTCTGTAGCAAAGTTGACTTGTTGTCATAGAATTCATCCTTTGCATCATCCGAACTGCAGCCGTTGGGTGCGTAGGCGAAGATTACGAATAGGTAACGCCTAGTCTCACTATCTACTCAATTGAGCAGCACGGACATCCGTTAACTGGTATCTAGTTGAGAGGCGCGTGTTTTTGTTCTACAACCTAATGTTGTGCGTATACCAGCGAGTCCACGAGAGCTAGCTATTGGGTTTCTGGAAAAATTTTAATCTCCACTACGATGGTCAAGCGAGGTGAATTTAGTAACCATACTCGAATCCTGTATACGTCTCAGATACATAGCATGTATCCATGACTCGAGATTCCAGAGTTTTGGCGAGCAACATTTAGTGTTCTATTTGGTATTGAGTTCGGACGTTGACAGCTCCTACATGAAATCGATGGCGAGGTTTTGGAAGATTAGGAATGAGGTTCCATTGTCTTTGATCGTTGGCAGTGGTTGAATAATGAGAGGTGGGGCGAAGGCATATAGTATAGTATTAGCTCAAGGAGGTGAAAGCAGAGAAGACAACTGATGAGAATAGGTTGTGTTTTATTGGGTCTTGTGTACATCTGGAAGCATGCGGGTGGTTAACACTTCCGAGCTGCCCACACCGTGAAAGGCTATTTCTTCTTAAGGTATCTAAAAGAGAGAACGATTTGTGTGACCGCAGATCCCATGGGATATTTAGTCGAGGCCTGTCACACATGGCATTTTGCGGGTTATTATTTTGGGGTTTGCTTGTTCTAACGCCAGGTAGAGAAAATGCATACCACCCGGCACAAAAAGAACATGGACTAAGGTGGAGTCTATTTTTGGGCCAGACCTTTTCTAACCCGCTCCCTGCGTTCCCACTTGGGAGGCAGCATTACTGTGGCACTACTGGTCATCCAAGGGGAACACCCTACTGCTCTCACACCCCATCCAGCTAGCAGCAATACGACTTTACCCTCAGATCCCCACCACAGTATAGTAATTAATACTACAAAGGCAACAGACCTTTCTGGCATGGTAGGACCTCGAAGGAACAAGCGGTCCAGCCGGCGTAGCGTTTTTGGTCTTTGTGATATGTAAGCCTGACCATCATGTCAAAGAAGCAGTGATCGGCCGGGTGACCAAGGGTCCTGTGGCAGTCTCACTGGAAAGGGTCCCAAGTAAACGCATCACCCTGCTAAAGGCTTTGTAATCGAACACTCTTGGGGGTATTAAAGCCTGAGATGAATTGTGCACGTAGAATGGTGTCCGTAAACTTCGACCATATCATAAATGTGTACTTATGGAGGTTCCCCTCCAATCGCCATACTTCACGGGAATCGTCTTATCACGTGAGAATCCTGTGTAGACCTACGCAGGTGACATAGTCGTGTTTGTTTAAGCCCTGACGAAACGCAGTCTGCTGGCCACGTCGAGTGGTAGTTTTAGATCCTTTCGGGCGCGTTTCTCACGACCCAAACGCGAACTGTTGCTCCAGGACTGGTCTTTAGTGATACCCTGACTAACAATAAGGAATGGAATAATCGAAGGCACTGATCACTTGCCTGGGAAGTCGGATCAGACCTAGTAACTCAGTGACCGTCGAAATCTCTGCACTGATACAAAAAGCTCACTTCGACTTCGTCACTTAGTGGATTGCTGTGATATCCGATTTTTATTGAGGGTCAAGTGTACTGAATTGCAGTTCTCTGTGTTCTACTGTATGACGAAATATTACCATTAAGAATTGAGGATATGAGAATGCTTCGAGTGTCCTACGTCGATTTTTTCTATGTGAATCCCATACTTCTGCAATGTTTTTATGTAAACCAAAGGATGGAACTGGGATTAAGATCACATCCATAGCCAAAATCTTTCTACGCTGAAAAATCTTATCAGCTCAAGTGAAGTGGTATAATTTATCAAATATCTTGCAACAGTCCTGAGCTCAAGTTCATAGACCAAAACAGTTGGTAGGTTAAAGTATGTAAGCACGAGTTTAGCTGACTATATATCAGCAAATCCTCGAAAACCATGTGCACGCTGGTTTAGCAGGCAATGAGCAACTATTGTTGTGTGAGGGTAAGTAATATTAACCTGAGTGTCCAAACCTCGGTAGGTGGAACGGGATTCTAATCCTTGAATCACTGGTTTCAAGTCATCTGCCTAAATCAGTGACACATCTTTAATTCATAAATCCTGTTATTATGAGTAAAATTGAGGTGTGTGATATTTTATGCTTGCTAAGAAATAAAATGATATGTAATCGTACAATGAAGGAAAACGAGTGTACACGGTGTGATATTTTGAGCTAGCCCTAATAAGAAACGTGGTGCATGCACTAATCCAACCATAGAATAGGGCAGGTGTTTAAAAGAAGTGACCACTGGATCTTCGTTTATTCAACCAACACAGTGCGTATATCGACGGTAATTCAACAGCTATCCATGACGTCTATAATACTACTACCCCTAAAGTAAGGGACTAAAGCAGAATCTAAAGTAGTGATCGCATTTATATAAATGCGGATGGTGAGTTTCGTCCCAAAACTTCACCCAGTAAATAATAAAGCGTTTCATCTCTCTGTCGTATCAAATAAGCAAACTAATGTGAAATGACGCTCAAGCTGTACTCCTATGTAACATAAATGGCTATTTAGAAAGTGTAGCAAACTTAGGATGTCGGTTTTGTACAAACTAGCCATTGTTTGTAGAAGCTGCTACTGGATAAGCCAGAATGTGGTCGATTTATGATGTTACACTGTAGACAGCCCCACTGGTTTGGTGTCTGTTTGGCTCATTGTGGTCTTGAAAATCATAAGGCGCTATACATATGCTGTGTATATCGACTAGTGTGGAGCATTCCTTAGTCCCTACGTTTTACCATGTTTGCGTTAGCAAATGGGTTTGCTTCATTGTGCACTTTGAAGAATACAGAACTAGTCTAAAGTATTTGCTCAGTCTTGTGTATTCGTGAGTTAGAGCCACACTGAAGTAATATTAATGGACATGGTCTATATATTCCTCATACAGGATGACGGCTCATGTGTAGTATAAACTGTCCCCGGCAAGATCGTGGATGCGCACTACTAAGGAGTTTCACACTAGGACAGAACAGCTGTCCAGTGCTTCCACTGTTTCTGCAACTGATGTCAATCTAAGATGAATACCATCCTAACCCATTACTGTTTGGATTTCAAATTAAATCCATTGCGTCAGCTTAATCCTGGCAATAACATTTTTTTCATCTTTACATAGAGCACCTTCAATAGGAGTTGGTTTATCTGCTGCTCTTCAAAATCTAAAGTCCACGATCAATAAACTGCCGAAACTGTCGACATTAGTAAGTTCTCAATGTACCGATGATACATATCAGTTTAAGCATATTTTTCTTGGTGTATGCCCCTAATTCTGTTCATAAACACAACCGTAAAAAAAACAAGTGCATTATTTTTCTACTTTCCCTAAGCCATTAAAGTAATTGATTCTCTCCAATAACTCGTTATCGAAATTCGCGATATTCAAGCAATACATTCGTGACACATGTTTTTTACAGAATAAAATGTAACGGTGTGTAAAGGGTTCGAAACAGTCTTATCCCGAAAAACAAAAATCATTAGTAGCCGAAAGTAGTTACATTTACGAAGTAATCCCATGTTATTGTCTCTACGCGTCTGCACATTTTGACCAATCAAGTCACTTTCAAGAGGTGGAGTTTCTGTTGATCAGCTTTGATTTTGATCCGACATAAATGTGAGGACTTGTCGAGCACATCTTTTGGATGCTGGGATTCGGAAACTGTTGTATTGCATGTATGACATCAAATTACTTTTATATTTTATACATCTGATGATAAATAAGATGAATACTGACAGATGCAGTAGCATACTAGTTGCTGATGTCTATTGCTGTAGAAATGGTATCTAGCGAAAAAAACCATTGAAACCAATACTCTCACAAAGCTATTTGAAACAGTTGTGAAACAGCGTGTTGTGTTTATGACCAAATATTTCGTGAGTCTACAACAAGTGAAAATTATTTTTGTAGTCATTTATCTGACTAGAAGGATGAATAAATAACCAAAAACCAAACACACTACAAAAATGGCAAAAACTTCATAAAACTTGTTTTTTTTTGTAATATAGGAAAAATCACGTCTCGACTGGAAACAATATGTACAGAAGGAGTCTTTAGAAGATGATCTCAAAGCACATAACAAAGGGAAGGAAGGGTAAGGTTTTAACTGTATACATCCATGTCCTTGTACTATTTCACTTTTACTCCGTTTAAATCAATTCAATACGAAAATCTACACTCCTTTTACCAGTGAAAGAGAATGAACTAATAATATTACTCTTTAGTAAACGAAAAAATGTGGTCAACTAACGAAGAACATTTCTTTGACTATCGTTTTCCTCCCAGCATTTTATCAGTATTATGTGGATCCCAAATCGATAATTACTCTGAACCTGTTAATATATGATATGCTTAAACTGAAGCAATAGACTTGTTCTAAAACCTATCTTCTAACGTAAAAATTCACCTAGTTGGTTTAAGGTCGATATTTACTTTACGAAAATGATATCAACCAGGACAGTTTTTCTGACTAGTTTTCCAAGATTAGTCGTTTTTTTCAGCTAGTAATGTTTTTGATTTCGGGTATATTGCCGCGATATCCAAGTTTAAGTGCACCTTTTATGTTACAACGATCTGCGTAAAACGCTTTTGCAAAGTACCATCACTGAACTCACCAAACACGGTGCCTTTTCCATGCATAATTATTTATAAAATATTTCTCGTTGATTGGTAAACCAGGCTAGTGTAATATGTTACCCTCCCCCCTACAGGTATTTAGAAAGGCAGGCGTTTGTCCACAGAACAAGTGAACGTGAACATCAGTATCATCAGGAACTAAAGAAACCTACATCAAGTCGGAGGATATAAATATGGTATAAGCGAAGTCCCTGGTTAAATTGATCCCTTTGGATCACGGATGTTAAGAAATATCTGAGGACTTATTACTATTGCGAATAAAGATATGATTTTCAGTATCAGTGCATTGAACTTCATGTTTCTTCGTTGTTTTTATGTAAAGTGAAGGACTGTGATTAAAGAGTAATACGAAATAAATGCCTGTTTTTGACTACAGTAAGTTTTATTTTCATTCTTGTCTACCCTTCTGGCATAATAGTTTATTCTGGTATGTCAAATGTATAATGTTTATCCATGTCCTTTGCATACGGGAATTGCTTCGCTTTCTGCAATGAAAAAATCAATGAAAATTAATGCTACTGGCAATTATGAAGGATATTTAAAGTTTTAGATTTTAACTAGCTCTTAGTGCATTATAAAATTGCAATACGTTAGTTTGTGGTGGGCTTGGTGTTGACTTTCTAATCATCTTATCAGTGACAAAATACTTGCATGTAACCTTCAGCGGTAGTGCGGCCCAGCAAGCTCACCGTTTTTGAAGAATCTAATGTTGGCATTAATTAGCAAGGGCCAAAACGATACTTCTCTATTTTTTTCATTAAAGTGATGGCTGGATTTCACCAGAACTAAGTGTTTCAACAGTTGGATCATCCGAACTCTATAATGTCCAAAATTAGGTACATTGAGATTTCTCTCGCTGTCTGTGGGCACTAAGGATTGCCACTTATTCTTTACCGTGAACAGGAGACGCTCAGCTGTGACAGCATGGAATACAGTCAAACGTCGCCTGTTTAAAATTAAAAACCAGTCCCTGGTAATTAAGATGATTAGTCTCGTTTTTCTTGCTCTTTGCTTTATGAGAAAAGTATTATCATTATTTTCCCCTTTGGTTCCTAGTGGGACAGACGGCTTCAGTAGCACACCCCCATTGCACTCCGTTCTCTGCAGTTATTTGAAATTCGCTCCACGACTGCCCACAAGCTTTCATTTCTCTCTCACATGGTCTCCTCCATGTCACCCTCGAACGCCCAACTCATCGTTTCCCCTTTTGACTCCACTCGACGACCTGGCCTGGCGCGTGATGTCCCTAGTCGGCCTCAGTGTATGCCCAATCCATCTCCACTTTCTTTTTCTGCATATTTGTTGGGTGACAGGCTCTTGGTTGGTTCATCGCCAGCCAGAGTTCCTTGTTGCTTATTCTTATTATTCTGGCCATCTGATCTGAGTTTCAGTAACGAGCCAGCGTAGGCAGCTGTTGATGAATGCTAGTAGTTTGTGGGAAATGCCAAGTTTCTGAACCACCTGGCAGCACTGACTTGACATAGGTGTTGAGAATCCGGATCTTGTTCAAGCTTTATGCTGAGTGCAGTTGATCTCCACACTGATTTCAGATTAATGAAAGCCTGCCCTGCTGTCTTTACGATCCTGGTTTTGACATGCTCGTAGTTGAAACGATGCTGGCTGGTAGGTGAAAGAGACTACTTCTTTTAGGTTTCTCCCGTTCATGGGAATTGGTGCTTGTTGTTAATGCTGTTGTTGGTTGGGTATCTTCATCACCTCTGTCTTCTCTACATTCACTTGAAGTCCCGTTTTCGCTGCCCTGCCTCGCCTCTTCTGCCAACTTGTTAGTTTTCGCCTGTAGATCTTCAAGTTTGTGCTACAAGACACTAGACATAAATGATCTTCGGTGAAACCCAAATCTTCTGGCGTAGTTTCATCAGTCCAGCGTATGCCCCTCTTTTCGTGCCTCAGTTTGTTGCACGATCCAGTCCACCACAGTCAGAAAGATCATGGGTGATAGTAGGCAGCCTTGTTTCACTCCTGTCTTCACTTCAAAGGCATCAATGAGCTTCCCATTGTGAATTACTTGGCATGTGGCGTCTTCATATAGTTGTTGAATGAGGCTGATAAAGGTTTGCGGTATTTCGAAGTATTGAAGCAGTTTCCGAATTACCTCTCGGTCGATGCTGTCAAAGGCCTTCCCAAAGTCGATGAAGTTGAGGTAGAGAAATGACTGCCATTCTATACTCTGTTCTATGATGATGCGAAGCGTGCAATTCGGTCCGCACATGATTTATTCTTCCCGAAGCCAGTCAGCCTGTTCCGGTCGTAGTTTGGAATCGAGCGCATCCTTTGGTCTCTCCAGGGTGATGCGGCATAATATTTTGCTTGGAGTGGACAGCAGCATGATTCCTTGCCAGTTCTTGCAAAAACTTATATCACCCTTCTTCGGGAGATTGACAAAGTACCATTCTTCCCGTCAATCAGCAGGTACCTTTCCTTCCTTCCAAACCTTCTGTAATAGTAGTGTGAGCATATCGGCTGTTGTCTCTGCGTCTGTCTTCGGTACTTATGCGGAATTCCATCTGGTCCTGCTGCTTTCCTGAATTTCAGCAGTTTTATGGCCTTTAGGACTTTTGCTTTAGTCGGATGGCCTGTGTTCACTGGTAGTTTTGCCGTTGCTGGTGGTATTTCCGGACGAATTGCAGGTGGTGGTCGATTCAAGAGCTTTTTGAAGTGGTCAGCCCATCCTTTCCTTTGTTCCCCCTCTTTGGTAACTAGCTTTCCTTCACTATCTTTCATTAGTTTCGTCTGCGTTGATCTCTTCCCCCCGAATAGTAACCTGGTTATTTGATACAATGTTGTCAGGTCTCTCCTACCAGCAGCCTGTTCTGTTTCACTTGCCAGTGTATCGTAGAAGTGTCTTGTCTTTCCGCACACTCTTCTTCACTTCTTTGTCCAGTGTTTTGTACGTTGTACTCAGTTCGTCTTTTCGTTGTGCATCCCTGCGCGGTTCATCTGCTTCACCATCTTTCTTTCCCTGCTTCAGCTTCCATGTGTCCATTGATACCCATTCCTTATCTTCTTTATTCTTCCTTCCTAGTACGGTTGGGCAGGTTTCTTCCCACATCTCTTTCAAATAGTTCCTGTGTTTTTCCACACCCGATACTTCAGACATATTGCTCAATGTCTCTCATTTTGTTCTGATGGCTGACGACGTGAAGATGTATTTTGTAGTTTTATCCTTCAGTTTCTGGGTGTTGAACTCGAACTGTGGTCTATTACCAACTTCTTTGAAGGCTTTCAACTTGATTTGGAAGGTTCCTTGCAGTAGATAGTGGTCTGAACTTACATCTGCTCCCCTTCTTGATCTTGTGTCAAGTAGGCTCGCTGCATCTCCACTTTCACGTTGAGATGAAATCGATCTGACTCTTAGTGTGCTTGTCTGGTAAAGTCCATGTCACTTTGTGAATATCTTTGTGTTTGTACACACTTCCTCCAATCACTAAATCGTTGAATGCGCAGACATCTGCAAACAGTTCTCCATCCTCATTCATTTCACCGAGTACTTCTCGACCCATGATCAGTTCTCTTCCTGTGTTGTCCGCTCCAAGTTTGGCATTCAAACATGTCACCCATTAGAATTTTAATCTCACCAACTGGAGTCTTGTCTAGTACTGATTGCAATCGTCTATAGAATTCCTCCTCCTCTTCATCTGCATTATTTGTTGGCGCGTAGCATTGAATAGTTGTGACTTTCCTTCCTTTTGAGTTAGCTGCTACCTTCACGTGGTGGTCAGGCTTGCATATCACAATGACCCAACGAGCTATGCTGGTGGAGCGCTTGTTCCCTTGAGGTCCTACCATACCACAAAAGTCTGTTGGATAGTGGTAAGACGGAAGGCAGTTACCGCTGTGGTGTAAATTACTACACTATGATGGGGGTCTGATGGCGAGGTCGCACTGCTGCTGGCTAGATGGCGTGTGGCAGCATTAAGATGTTTCCTTTGGATGACCAGCAGAACCATGCTGATGTTGCCTTCTCAGTGGAAGGGGGGTTTAGGAAAAGTCGGCCCCAAAAACAACACACCGCCATGCTCCATGGTCTGCCGGGCCGGCGGTGTTGGTTCATTTGTCGTTGCCTTTCAACCATCCGGCCCCAAATATACAAAAGTTCAAAATAATCATGTTCAAAAGGCAACGTGTGACAAGTCTCAAGCAGATGTTCGATAAGCTCTACAGTCGCATAAATCTCTTTCAAGTACCTTAAGAAGAAATAGCCTTCCACGGTGTGGGCAGCCGGGAAGTGTCAACCGCCCTCACAACTCTGTCAGCATTCAAGTTTCTTCTGACTGCTATCCACCTCCTCCATCATTACCTTCTAATCTTCCTTCACGTCTCTTAATTAATGATGCTGCATTATCTTCAATTTCTCCTACCTCTGCAGCCTTCGACAACGATCTGAGTTCACAAAACAGCATCCTTGGTATCTTTAAAACACGCTCCAAATTACATATTGGAGTCTTCAATGTTCGCACCCCCTGTCAAATTAGTCAACAGGCCTCGTTGGCAAAGACTCTAGCAACTCGGGCCATGGATGTGTGCTGTGTTTGTGAGACACGCATATAGGACCCAAGTGCGGTTGTTCACCTGACCTCTCCCGACCAATCTGGTGAATCCGCGAAATTCACCCTTCAAGTTTCTGGAGATTCGATGGATAGCTCTGGCTGTCGTGCAGGTTTAGGCATAGCACTAGGGCAGAAAACTCACTACTAGGCTGGATCCCAGTTGATAGTCGCCTCTGCGCTATCTGACTGAACGGCACAGGGAGAACTAAAAGGAATGGTAAGACTCGCCGTTGTCTCTTTGTATTCTCTGCTTACGCACCCACTAACTGCGGTTCGGATGTAGTGAAGGATGAGTTCTGTCGTAAACTGTCTAGCCTCCTCTCGAAAGCCAAACGTTCAGACGTGGTGGTTGTTGCAGGTGATTTCAACGCACAGGTGGGTAGACTGAGTGAGGCAGGAAGGCACAGGTGGCGCTTTCGGAGTCCCGGCTGAACGTACAGATAACGGTTATCGCCTACTGACAACTATGCTCAGATAACCGCCTATTTTTAGCTAGCACAAATTTCAGACATAAAGAAAGACACTATCTGACGTGGTGTCCACCGAGCTCAACTCAGCGATGGACACAGACAGACTACATTGCTGTTAGTCATCGCTGGAGAGAATCGGTAGAAGACTGCTGTTCCTTCTGGATTTCGTGTTTGGATAGCGACCACGCGTTGGTTCGAGTGCGTGAATGCCTGCGTCTCAATGGACGTAAGAAAAATTTGGCAACAAAACCACTACGAGTACTGCTGGACAACGAAAACACCAATGCCGTGTTCAGTGAGAAGTTGGGTAGGCAGTTATCGGAGCAGAAGACTATCATTCATCCAGAAGAAGCTTGGTGCCATCTCCAGTCTACTGTAAAAGCAGCAATGAAGACCGTAGCCGACTCCAAAGTAGTGGCTAAAAGGAGCCAGAGGATATCACCAGCTTCTTCCGAACTCATGGATGCACGTGAACGCATCCTTGCAGACTCTAAGTACAATGAAAAGCGAGCGCAACTTAAAAGTAGGTTGAGAAAAAGCCTATGCGACGACCACGAACAGTAGTGGGCAGCGAAGGCTAAAGAGACGGAAAAGGCAGCGACGATTGGTAACAGTAGACAGTTATTTAGATTTATTGAGGAAATTGGGGGGAAAAGGTCAACTGCGGTTAGTGAGGCTACAGCGGAGAAGGACAGATCTGCGATTCACTCGCAGAGACGACCTGAACGATGGGTAGAACGCTTCGAGGAGCAGTTTGACTGACCTCCAACTACCATTGCGTTGCCCGTTATCCAGTTGGATCCTGAATGGAACATTGAGATAAGCCCCCCAACACTAGGGAGAAGTCGAAGAAGCTGTAGGTAACCTGAAACGAGGAAGGGCGGTAGGACCGGACGGACTACCTGCTGAGGTATACAAGAATGGTAGTAGAGTGCTATTAGTCAGGTTAACAGAAGTGTTAACAAGTATAAGGGAATCAAATACGATCCCTCTGACTGGTCTGAATCACTGATTATCCGTCTTCAAGTAAGGTGGAAAGTCCTCTTGTGATAACCATAGGGGAATCAGCCTGATGAACATAGTGTCCAAGATCCTAGGTTCGATAATTCTCCGACGCCTGAGTGGAGCTCGGGAACAGCAAGTCCGCGAAAACCAGACAGGCTTTAGACCCGGTCGCAGGTGCATCGACCAAATATTCACACCGAGCCAGGTCTTAGAACATAGGCACGCTTACAGACGCCCGGCAATAGCTATATTTCTCGACTTGAAGGTGGCATTTGACTCCATTGATCGAGAAGCCTTATGACAATGTCTCTCACTGAAAAGCGTGCCGAGTAAGTGCATCACTTCATTGAAGGCTCTCTACTCGAACACTTATGGGCCTGTTGGAGCCTATGGTGAGATGTCCAGACAGGTATGCTCATCGAGTGGTGCCCACTGTCTCCATTCTTATTCAGTTTTATCATGGATATTCTCATGGAGGTATCCCTCTCGTCACCTGACTACACAGAGGTTGACCTAATCGCAGGAAAGTTTTCATTAGACCTAGAATATGCAGATGACATAGTCCTGTTAGGCGAAGACGCTGAACACTGAGTGGGAATTTGAGAATGTTTGGGATACGTTTTTCACCGCCCAAATGCAAATTGTTGCTCCAGGATAGGTCTTCAGCGGTGCCCACGGCTAACAATAGAGAGTGAATCGGTTGAGTATGTCGACTACTTCACTTACCTGCGAAGTAGGATCAAGCCCTGGGGGCTCAGTTGCCGATGAAATCTCTACACGGATACAAAAGGCTCGGTTGGCTTTTGCCAATTTACGCTACCTATGGCGCCGCCGTGATATCCGTTTGTCTATAAAGGGTCGCGTGTGTACTGCACAGCAGTCCCGTCTGTTCTACTGTATGGCTGTGAAACATGGCCACTGAAGATGGAAGACATGAGAAGACTTCAAGTGTTTGACCACCGTTGCCTTCATAGTATAGGCCGTATTCCGTGGTGTCACCATGTGAGTAATGCAGAAGTCAGGCAAAGTTTTTGGGAGTAGAGGTAAATCAGTCGACGACGTTATGAACCTTCATCGATTGAGATGGTTGGGAAACGTACTACGTATGCCGTCACCTATTGCCTCGTCACACAATGTTGGCCTAAGTAGGCTCAGGCTGGAAAAAGGCCTGAGGTGGCCAGACTAAAACTTGGCAACAATGCATGAAGTCTCTGACTGTTGGTTTGAGCCATGTGGGGCGATGCAGACTAGGTAGTTGGGGTCCGTGGGACAAGAGAAACCAGTGGCTGGAGACTCCAGGGGATATGGCTCAGAACCGATGTCAGTAGCGCAGATGTATACGCACATTATCCTCATCTTAACACTATACCGAATCTCACCACTTTGTCACTCCTTTCTTTTTTCTCGTACTTTATATTTTTTTTGACTGAATTTTTTATCTTCATCTCACTATCTTTCTGCTTGATGTGCTGATATGAGGTGTGGCAACTCGGACCGTTACGCAGCAATGCCTGGTTTTATGTCGATAGTGATGATGAGTTGAATCTTGCTGTCATGATCCTGATACTGTAGGAGACTGGTTCCCACTGCATGAGACCCTTTGATGTTTCTGGAGACATCATGACAGCCACTCCAAAACTCAGTGTGCTCGTGGTTGTCGTCTGGGTGGCAATATCGGAGTAGATTATTGACTTTTCAGTTCGGAGAGTCCACTTCCATTCCATCTGCTTTCGCAGATTCCAAGCACTTCCATGCCATATCTTATCTGTTTTGCAATCCGGGCAGCCTTGGTAGGTTCATACATGTTGTGGACATTGCATGTCCCCATCCTTACTTTCGCTTTCATCGAGAGAGGACACATCGGCCGACTGGCTTCCCGAAGGCTTTCACCAACCGGCGTCATTTCATCTCCCCGATTCCAGCGATGAATAAGTTTATCATTACTTTCTGTATTTTGTTTGTGCTTTGAAGTTTCTTTAGCGGTTGGATTGGTTTTACGGGGTAGAGTTGCTAGCCCTATACCCAACCTTTCCTCTTTACCCGGGTTTAGGACTGGCTAATAACTAGTGAACTAGTTAACCAGGCGAAGTTTATGAGAAAGGTAGCAATCATTATTTATACTTTTGTAACCCAGCTAATGAAGCTCAATGAAATGTTGGCAACATGTTGACAAGATTTCAAGTTCTTTTAAAACAACTTGTGGAACATAAACTTAATTGCTACTTACCATTGGGTAGAAATAGGAATATCCTCGACAGACGTGCAGTAAAATAAGGAAACCGATAAATGGCGAGAAAATTTTGATAAGCACCCACCAACTAAATTTTATTGGATTTAAAACCAAGCGTATGATCAATAGCTTACATTGGTTGGCCCTTTAAGTTTTCCCGCAACGCTACGGGATCAAATCCGTCAGCAGTATACGCCTGGGCTAAAAATTGAACAGGATCACCGAAATTCCGTCTTTCACGTGGATAGTCATAATGTTCCCAAGGGTCAAGATTTTTTACATTATAAGGTTCTGTATAGAAGTAGTCACCCGGTGGTATGCTATTCTCTTCAAACGGTTTATAATCAGATGGCATGAGGTTATAACGTCTTGCAGCTGCTTCTCGTTCCTCTTTAGTGCACGGATATGGTCTTGGTTTCCACTCAATGTGATAACCTGCAAAGTAATTTTGAAAACAACTTTCAAACTAGGTTGTAAGACAAACTTGCACGATATGTATATATGCATTTTTATGAGATCAAATAAACATTATGCAACAAGGCTATGAGTCACATTAGCTGTTAGCTGCACTACTTGACTGGATCCCCGTCAACAGTCGTCTGTGTGCTGTTAGGCTAGAAGGTTCATCTCTGATAGGAAGTAATCGATGTCTTTTTGTCATCTCTGTCTATACCTCGACAGATTGCAACTAAGGATGAATTTTAACATCAACTAAGTGACCTTTTCAACCAGGTGCGCTCGATAGAAATCGTGATGGTAGCTGAGGGCTTGGACGCGCAAGTCAGGCGCCTGGTTCCTGAAGAGAGTTGTTTAGGTGACCAACCTAATGCTCTCCTACCTCGAAACGTCGATGTGCACGTACAAGCAACAATGCTGATTGCAAAAACACTTCAAAAGATGCTCTTCAGCACAAACTGTAAGTTGTTCGGGCTGATTGTTTGTAAGAAATTTGACCATGCTAGTTAGAACGAAAGGTCAGATCGCAGCAGAGATTAGATCAATAACAAGGTTTGTAATCCACATTAATTTGGGTTTAGTTCAAAACTTAATTGGCGCATATTATTTAGCGATCTAAGCAATTACAACTGATCATGTGGCATAGAATTTCCAGCACTAACTGTGATAAAAACAAAAATGCACTCAACAATCACGCGGACGTTCATGCAGTGGGCAGTAAGCCGCAGCTATTATGCCAGGCTTGATGACACTGCCTGGCTAAGCACACCTCAGTAGTTTGAGCGACACTAACCCCTAAGAAGTTGGAAGTCAAATGTATCGACCACTGGGTGACACCTGCAGCACGACACCCCAAAACACAGCGGAAAATGAGGTTAGTAGATTTATATCTCCTACCAAAACCATATCAAGTAGCATTCTTCGGGTTTTCCAGGGATAGAAATGAAGTTTTTGATACTGGTCGCTAATTACTGGTATTTTTATTGCTACCTTTAATAGGTTAACATTATGGTGTACTCTAGGATGTTGTAAATCTAATTAATACAAAACCATACATAGTTGGACATATATATGTCCAATTGTATGATATAATGTCCAAACATACATCAAGAAATCCCTACCTAATTAGAAGATAAAAACCACCTTGCATATGATTGAAAACATAATGCAAATAAATGTATATTCTAAGGGAAACTTAGTTTTCTCCAAGCTAATTAGCTAGTTAACTAACTTATGAGCTAGGTTCTGTTTAACAAAAAAAACTAGATCATAGCAACGCTGAAGCCATCAATAAGTCCAAATGATTTCATGTATCTCAGTACAAAACTTACATGCCATCTTTCGACAGATCGGTTTCAACAATTTAATACAGCGACTAGCATCCAACAAACGCCCCATAGTTGTAGCACGCTTTTTATGGTGCGCGCGAGCATTCAAAACATCTGCTGGTGTATGAAACTCTCGGTTTTTAGTCTCTCATGTCTAGTTCTTGGGACCTGGTCCTATTTGTTCGACTTTCTCCTGCAGTGGACAAGGAGATCTCTTCTGCTTTCTTGCTTCTAGCTCCAGTGGGGTGAACGGTTTTGTGAGTTAGTCAATTGTAATTTGTATTGTTTAGTGAGCTACAGATTGCTGAGAAGATTACGGGTCTGTCGTGACTCCTGTCTGTGTGAGTACCCGAATGGGAATAGCAAGATGATGAGGAAACATGTGGGAATTACCCAAAAGGTTAAAACAGATAGCATGTGTCTAGTCGCTAGAGAAGAGTTTGTAGATAACTTAGGTGTATCAAGGAAGTAGCCTCTTTACCTATCTAGGCAGCACTATTTCAACTACAGGCCACAGCACAGACGAGGATGTCAAAGCCAGGATCGGAAAAGCAAGATAGGTTTTCACTTGCCTGAAATCAGTGTGGAGATCTGCACTCAACTGAGCATGTGGAACAAGATACGGATTTCCAACACCAATTCAGTCAAGTCAGTGCTTCTGTATAGTTCAGAGACTTGGCGCATTACGAAAGGGATTTCCGACAAATTACAGACATTGATGAACAACTGCCTACGCTGGCTCGTTACTGAAGATCAGATAAGATGGCCAGAATCATAAGAATAAGCAACAAGTAACTGTGGCCCGACAACGAACCGACCAAGGACCTAGCACTCAACAAATATGCAGGTGAAGAAAGTGGAGATGAATTGGGTATACGCTGAGAAGGCCGACTCGGGACATCATGCACCAGCCCAGTTACTGGAGTGGAACCCCGATGGGAAGCGACGAGTTGGGCGTCCGAGAGTGACATGGAGGAGGTCGTGCGAGGAAGAAATGAGAACTTATGGCTGTCGTGGAACCAGAATTAAAAGTCTGCAGAGAACAGAGTGGTATGGAGATGTGCTGCTGAAACCCTATATTCCTTTAGAAACCCAAGGGGAAAATAAAATAAATAAAACAATCAAGAAGAGAGATGGTGTCGTGAACGAGAAGAGGATAGTGGCAGGCTAGTGAGGTCGGAAGTGCCCCGACTATGTCTCACGTAAGTTATAAGAAGCAGCAGAATTGTCTAACTGTCCTCCGACCGAGTCTGCTGAGGGGGCTGCGGCTACATCACGTGGTAGGGCACTCCGCAAAGCATATACTGTTGAGGAGGAAAAGCTGGGCCTGAGCCTAGTGTTGGTTCTCTTACGTACTATCCTGATGGAGTTTCCTCCCGATAATCTTCACATATCAGACAAGGACAGTTTGTTTTGCATGATTGGTCTAATGGATGATCTTTCTGAAGTAGCTCTGGCTGAATAGGTTTAGTTCAAATGGTTCGAATGGTTGTTTGTGGAATAGATCTTGCCTTCACTTGGCTGGCTTCCGCATACACAATCAGCCGACCACTACTCTGTTCGGCTGTTAACCTGTGTGCAAGAAAAGATGGAGGAAGTATCAGCGGCTAACATGTGAAGATTCAATTAGTTCTGAGCAGGTCCCAGCCACATCTCAAGTAGGTATCTGGTCGGCACTAAAGGGTTCAGAAGAAGTAGTCTGAATCACATCTTCAGGAAGAACGTTTCAGGGTTTAACGACCCCTAGGGAATAGAAGTTGTGCCTGACATCTGACCTGCTATGTCCTAGGCTTAGTTTCTGTGTGTCCTCTAAGATCGGTGCCAAAGCTAAGATTTGTTTAGTGACAGAATGGGTGACCAGACATGCTGAAAATGTTGTGAGTCGTTATCAAGCCTCCTCTTAGCCTTCTGTATTCCAGAGGATACAGACCTAGCGCAACCAGTCGTTTTCCAAATGTTCTAAATCTAAGTGGTAGAACAGATTTTGTCTAAAGCCTTTGGATGCGATCTAAGCCTAGTTTGTCCTTCTGGAGAGAAGGGAGGAAAAGATGGTCTCAAACTCCAGGTGAGGCCGTTTGAATCTATTTAAAACCTGGTGGAAGCATCCACGAACGAACTGTCTGAGAATTCGTCTGAGAGTCACTAACGCCAAGTTTCCACGAAATGCGTTTCTGTCTTTGGGGACTAAGACGTCCAAATCCTTCTGTATCAGTGATACTTCAGGTTACATGGCGTCGAAGCTGTATACATGAGACATATCGCGTCTCACTTGTTTCCCCTTGCGTTTCTCAGGATTAAATGTAAGCTCGTTGTCGACTGCCCAGTTGTGAAGTTGGGTCAATTCTTCCTGTCGGCAAACACTATCTCCCTCACTTTTGATTCCCCTTCAGAGTTTCACGTTGTCGGCAAAAAAGGGAGAATTCGGAAGAAACTTGTTGAGGCAAATCGTTTATGCACTTCTCAAAAAGGAGAGGCCCTAGTGCTAAACTCTGGAAAACACCGCAGAGACATTCTCTTTCTTCAGGCATAGAGAAACTCACTGGAACTCTGAATTAATGGCCGGGCAGATATGGAGATAACTAGTCAATGAGCGGAGGTTGAATCCCGATTACATTCAATTCATCAATAGGCAATCGTGAATCACACGACCAAACGCTTCAGTGAAGTCCGAGTAGACAACATCAATTCGTCCCCAAAGGATAGCGCTCCTAGTCCACCTATTTACTGCAGCGAGCGAATTCGCAATGCAGGAGTACCCTTTACGAAATTTATATTGTTGGAAAGCAAAGAAGTCCATCTTTGTGAGGTGATTCCCCAGTCCATCGTATATTAACGATTCTATTACTCTGGAGGGAGTGGATAGAAGTGTCACCGATCTGCATTACTTTGGATTGCCTCGTTGACCCCCTTTGAAGATTGGCGTTATGTGGCCGAGCTTCCAAGACTCGGGTACTATCCCCTGAATCAGAGAATTGTTTAACAACTTGCTCAAAGGTTCAAACGAGATTGCGGCTCCTTCCTCATCACCACCGAATGGACTTCATCTGGTTCCGGAGGGCAGTGGACAGAGAGGATCTGGTGTAAGGTGTTACCTCACCCCCCACCTGCTCTTCCATCGTTGCAGAACAACCATGACATGTTTCGTTCCAAACGTTTGGAGTTTCAGTAAGGAAATAAAATCTAGATATTGCCTGTAAAAATGGCTTGTGTTTGTATAATTTACTACTCGAAAAGCATTAATATAATTAATTGCCAGTTGATGATATGACAGGTCAGGGGAAACCCATATTCCACCAACGCCAACAAGGTGATCAAAAGTGTCCTGAGTTAGTTCCTGCAGCTGGTCCAGTTTGTTCGGCAAGACCTTGCGCATTTTACATCTGCAATTTATGCTATATACGTAGAATGCAATCCCCGCACCCTCCCTACTTTCTGGTTGGCTGGCCGAATTCTCAGGCTCAGGGGCCTGGAATGTGCCTAAGTGCTAACTACCGGTGTAGTGTTATTCACTCCCCCTCCACGCTTTCCTAGTCTGTCGCAACATGTCCCCCATAGGTTTCGCAACCGTTTCTGTTGCAGATACTTTTACTTTTTCAAGGAGATCCGGGCCCATCCTAAGTGTTGGGATGTCACCGTATTAAAGACCTCTAGGCGCGGCTGTTTCTAAAATTGGGAAACTGTGAGGAACAGTCCAGTAGTGACGGCACTAAGCTGTCCACTCTGAAAGTACTGTGTGATGGTCGCTCTGATTATTATTTCTTTGTGGCTAGAACTGATGTTCGGGATGTCAGGATGGCTTGGCTTCAAATCCTTCTCCACGAATACTTTGGTGATGGCATGGTTACCCAATTTGCATTAGAATCCACCCAGCCCTGCATCATGAGCGTCAATGTACACCAATTTGCACTTTTCTAGGTTGAAACCCAGGATGTTTTCCGACTAGCAGTGTTCGAGTTCCTCCAGGTCGTTTCGTAGTCTCCTACAGTCAGCCTCTTCGCTTGCTACCCTCCACATTTCAATGCCATCAGCGAAGAGGAGGACGGGTGGGGGGACTTTGTGTCGGAGATTGTTGACGAACGGGAAGGATCCAAGTGGCCCCAGGATTGCTCCTCGGAAGACTCCCGACGTCAACAGTCCCCACTCCGACTGTAGTCTATTTTCCCTGATGCGGAACCCTTTGTCTTCTGGGTAAGCCTTGAACGAAGGGGATAGAGTGTTGCCTGTACCGACTGGCATGATCTTGTGAAGCATGATTTCGGGTGAGATGTTGTAAAATGCTCTAGTAAGGTCGTGAAAAACGATATGTACTGCTTTTCTGTTGTCCCAGCTAAATGTCCTGTCATCCTTGTCGTTCAGCAGATCGGTGGTACATGAACGACGACTCCGAAAGCCGTGCTGAGCATTACGAATGGTGTCTGCCCTGCTGAGGAATTCCTAGATATCGTCAGCTATCAGGCTTTCCGATATTTTGGAAGGTACAGGGAATGGGGTAATCGGTCTGAAGCAGCCGAGGCTTTTCCCATCTCCGCTCTCGACGATGGGTTGGAAGGCCGCCTACTTCCATCCCTTGGGGAGTCTGGATAATCCAGGCGATTGCTCGGAGTGGTTTCAGGTTAGTTTAGTGAGTACTTCGTCGCAGTTCCCCGAGACACTCGGCCTCATGTGACCACAGCTAGGCCACTTGTCTGGATGGAACCTTTGCGGTTTTCCCGATACCTTTTCTGGTGCGGTGGGGATATGATGGAGGTAATCGTTGTTTATACTTAGACCAGCGTCGTACTGACTCAGTGAAGACTCAGCTTTAGTACTAAGTCGAGCTTGGAAGTGTGAGTTCAGGGAGTGTGCCATCTCTAGACTGCTTGGTACGTCTCTATTAGGACCTGTGATAAGATTTACTCTTTTACTGGTCAATTTTCCTTCGATATGATGGAGTATAACTCTTTTGGGTTGCTTTGTAACCTTCTCACCAGGTTTATTTGGCAGCTACACGTGTAAATGCGGGCTGCTATTTTGGAGTGGTTGTTAGTTCTTTTGTTGTTTGAAAAATTGGACTCCCAGCGTGATGAACGC